CTGTCAATTTCCCGTTTGTAATCTAAAATGACTGAAAATTGCAAATTTCGCAAGGCTATATTTTCCGCATTTTACAACATTTTGCAACGAAACTTTGGAATATTACTACTTTTGTGATGCTCTTTCAAGCTGTGATGAAATTTTTGTATAGACTTATTTAGTTCAAAATTTAGTCTATTACGCAAATGGTCAATTGCAAAGTTTGGTTGCGAGTTGTTGTAAAATGAGGAAAATATAGCCCTGTGAAGTCCGCAAATTTTGCAGTATATATTTAGATTATATATATACGCGCGAGAAAAATAACCGTTTTTGAGCCGAATCGAAAGTGGTTATTTTTATACCACGCGTAATACAAATATATACAAAATTGGCGAACTTCACAGGGCTATATTTTCTTCATTTTACAACATGTGGCCAACCTTTGCAGTTTTACTCATTCTAAGACGCTCTTTCTAGCTGTGGTGTTGCCTTGATCAAAATTTAGTCTATAGCTGGGATCACCCATTTTACAGTAAAAAGTACTCTACTGGCAGCTGGGACGCCAGAAAATATACTGTATAATTTTACAGAGACTGTTTCTTAACCGAAGTCTGTATATATATATATATATATAGACAATAGGCCTCTGTAACTCAGTTAGTTATAGCGCAGCACTGGAGGGCCGCAGGTTCGATTCCTGCTAGGGACCTGTAGTTGCATTTTTCGTCTAATAAATGTATATAAATTAACTTCCATGCATTCGATAATTTCTATCTGCAAGACTCTTCAATTATTATTGAATCGAGTGAGATGTCACAAAATCTCGATATTTACCCTTCCTAACTACCAACCTCTCAACGAAGGGTCATCGCTTGAAACGTCGAAGATCAGGTAGTTGTATCTCTCTCAGTACCGTAGGCTGTCGTATATATTATGTCTGTAATGTCAAGACCGTAACTAGCTCTGGGGGTTTGCTTCCCCCCAAAAAACATTTTTGGCTTAAGCCAGTTTTCCACTTCAATCGTATCGTATTTCTTTGTTTTCTGACCACTAGTGTGGAACTAATGACTTCGACACTAAAGAAAATCCTACGGTACGTTACGATACGATTGAAGTGGAAAACAGGCCTTAGAAACGCCATTCCCTGCATTCTGAGAGCAGTTTCAACTCATGATCATAAACAATGTATTAAAATGACTATATAATTTTATAGTCAATCCTGAGAATCACAAATATTCCTGGTCCGACATGATGAGGTGCATAATTTTTAAGTGTTTGTGGAATTGTGGTAATATAATATGGGACGCTATAATTCCCATGGGTACACCCACGAAATATTGACGTTTTAAGCAGCTGGAAATAGAGCTTCGAGCCCTGCATCAGTAATGGAAAAAATTCCATTATCTGATTTCCTTCTTTGAACTTGAAGTCTTCATGTTTTAACTTTTTTCACAAAAATTCTTACCCAGTCAACTAAGTTGAGTAGTTGACTTGTAGCTAGCTGGCCCGAAAATGGCGGCAACTAACTATTGAGGAAAGTAATGAAATGGTAACCAAAAGCGCGCATTACATTGTGGTTGATGATGCCCCCTTAAGAAGTACTAAGTCTAGTTCTAAACACTAATGCGCTAAACTGATCATGCTTTGTCTTTTTTCTTTCTGAAACAAAAGTGATCAGTGTTTGGGACTCGCTTTAATAAATGTCTTTCATAACGAATTTCTTTCTATTAAGTCTCCTAAAATGCAACCTCGCCAATGTGAAAATTATTTTTCATTTTACGTATGTCAATTTCTGTGTGTTATATAAGTACAAAGCCGGCGAGAGGGCAGGGGGAGGGGAAATACCCGGGACCCGGAATACTCAGAGGGGCCCGGAAATATCGGTAAAATGTTCGTATCGTTAATCATCGCTTTATGTTTGTCCTAAATGAAATACGCCTACTTGCACACTATCCGCTGATCGTCGTGACCGATCGTAAAACGTACCAAATGTGAAATAAACGACTATATTTCGATCGTTTTTTCTGCAAAAACAGTTAGCCCAACATCGTTTACATCGCGTCTTTATCAGTTATAAGATGAAATGAGGTATTCACCTGTATTGAACAAATTTATTACGTCCATATGCTGGTACGGTAACATGCATGCACACCACACATGCGCCATCGGCACCGAAATTCTCCGGCGATTTCTTGCAAGCTAGTAATTCGCTGGCGATTCCCTCGTTGATTGCGATTAAAAAATAGACTTTGGTGTGGCCATCAATGTGAGAGTCAAGAGGGACGGGGGGCCCGGGTCGTGTTCACCAATTTCTCCCGGGGCCTGTAGTTGCCTCTTGCCGGTCTTGTATAAGTATATAATTCAATATTAGTACGTTATTTCCGTACGTTATATAAGTACGTTATATAAGTGTATAATAAGATTATGTAAGTATAATAAGTACGTTATACCCTCTTGCCTCAAAACAACCTATACATATTCGTCCATGACTTAGCCTACATTCCTTACCGGCGCTACGAATAAAAGTCAGGGCCAAAGCCCTCCAGCCAAAGCCCTCCAGCCACCATGATGCCCTTCCCCACTCAACCATTTCGCCTCCCCCCCGGTTTAAAGTTTAAAGCTTATTATTATTAGTCAAAGTCTTTTTTCTCTAAAACCTAAGCAAAATATTGGAAGAAAAATGGAATTTAGAAGGGAGGTTTGATATTCTTGTAAATCATTGAATTGTGTTGAAAATACCTTAGATTTCAAAAATTTCCAAGTGGACAGCATATCTCAGACCCTATATAGATTTGAGTTGCCTGAAGGCTAGACTAGGTTACGTTAGTTACCGAGTTGTGGTATTTACATAAACATACCATGCAAGTACTTAACTGAAGATTTAGTCTATCTGCAATATAATGTAACGCTGTTGATCCACAAATCTGTTTGAGAAAACGCAACAAATGCAGTCCTAGGGTTGGAAAAATACAAACATTTTCTGGGGGAGGAATACCCCCAGACCCCCTACTATTTCATACAACTTTTTGTCACCAACAACCAATGGTCTCCTTTTGTAGATCCCCCCCGGACGAACTCATGATGGTGTGTATATATTGTTACCATGGATTTTTATCAAACCGAAATGGCGGCGAAATTAAAATTCAGCAAATGATTTTATTTAGTAAATTTGAACACAAAGTTTGGTAATAAATCGCCAGAAAATCTGGTCACCGTACAATGCAACAAATGAGTCCCAAACAATGTCCGAATAAACTTAATGAAGAATCACTGACACTGTTTATTTCCATGGTTATTTTTTGTTTTCATGCAGAGGCAAATTAGATTAAATATTAACGTTCCTGTTTATAAAGAGCTTTATTTTAGAGCCAATCGAGTCCGTTGTGTTGACGCAGTGTTTTGTTTGCATGATTTGTTTCAAACAATAGATACTTGAATTAAAATCCCATGCAATCTGTGGGCATAAGACAGGGCCCGCGGAGCGTATTAGAGAGTGGGGGGGGGGGCTAAAGGGTGAGGTTTAATTAATTTAGAAAGTTTCATTTAGATTTCTATTTTAATAATTTTGGCTGTCAAAAAAAGTGGGGGGGCTCAAGCCCCCCCAGCCCCCCCGTCTCCGCGGTCCCTGTAAGAGGCATTGTTGGAAGCAATCACAACTGATAGAGTGTTGGCACTCATTCCTATGGCGTGCCAAGATGGACAATATTACTTTACGTCCATTTATATAATGTATATTTCAAATATATAATTTCAAATCTATTTTTGTAAGCCGAAATTGCCATATATAAAACGAAACAGAAATATATGCAACGAAACAGAAATATATAAAATGAAACACTCATATATAAATCGAAACACCCATATATAAAACGACATTAGTATATATATAAAACGAAATACTCCAAAATATATGAAACGAATTTTCCCAAATATATAAAACGAAATTCGTCAAATATATAAAACGAAATTCCTCAAATATATAAAACAGACATTTTACTAAAATAAAACGATATTTTTGGCGGAGAAAGAGCGCGACTAATTTATCCGGAGTAAATTTTCTGTAAACCGCGCTTATGCAAATATGGCGGGCAACAGAAATCTGCAAAATTTATCAAATCTTGTGAAAGCAATTTCTCGATTGAGTCAAAATAACACAGAGACCCGTAATAGTGGGGAGACGCAAGAAACTACAGACGACGTGGAAGCAACGATACGAACGCTCTTTCCTTGAACGAATGGTCAGACAGAAGCAAACCGAAATGAAATTCGTGTGGTCGCGGAACATGAGGCGCTGAACACATCTGATCGTCGGTACCCCGAAAACGCAGAAAGATTCGTGCCTAATCGCAAATATGGTATCAAGAAACGGGCTACTGGCTAGTCTGGCTACTGTCAAGCTACGTTGAGCAACAACAAAAATATGCTCATATAACCTGCAACACCCAGATTTCATCAGGCCCCAGAAGTGTGTGAGAGAAAACATTTTCCGCTTCTTTCGTGCCTCAGCTAGCGGAAAATACACTTCTCACACACCGCTGGGAGCTGCTGCAGCGTCAGCCGCAACCATACAACGCATAGAATTAATTTATACAGTTTATGCCTTGTGCATTGTTTTTGTAATATGAAGTAAAGAGTTTTTTGACTCATCAGTCTAATTGTTCTTTGTCTTCGCAGTACGCCACCCTCCTTGCCTCTGTATAGCAGGCGGTCTGCAATACCCAGAGCAGCTGCAGTTGTAGCACCACCAGATCGTAAACTGTGAAGTCCGTAATTCTTTCTTGAACAACTCGCTAGCACGGCTGTATGTCATAGGTGTGAAGAAGTATCTGACCATATTTGGTACTCTGGATACGCCTCCAAATGGAGGTTCCGGGCTTCCAAATATGGTCAGATACATCTGAGCACACCTATGACATACAGCCGTTCTAGCGAGTTGTTCAAGAAAGAAATTTAGTGAAGGAAGGTCTTGATGCTAGCGCTAAAGATTACGGACTTCACAGTTTACGATCTGGTGGTGCTACAACTGCAGCTGCTCTGGGTATTGCAGACCGCCTGCTATACAGAGGCAAAGAGGGTGGCGTACTGCGAAGACAAAGAACAATTAGACTGATGAGTCAAAAAACTCTTTACTTCATATTACAAAAATAATGCACAAGGCATAAACTGTATAAATTAATTCTATGCGTTGTATGGTTGCGGCTGACGCTGCAGCAGCTCCCAGCGGTGTGTGAGAAGTGTTATTTTCCGCTAGCTGAGGCACGAAAGAAGCGGAAAAAGTTTTCTCTCACACACTGCTGGGGCCTGATGAAATCTGGGTGTTGCAGGTTATATGAGCATATTTTTGTTGTTGCTCAACGTAGCTTGACAGTAGCCAGACTAGCCAGTAGCCCGTTTCTTGATACCATATTTGCGATTAGGCACGAATCTTTCTGCGTTTTCGGGGTACCGACGATCAGATGTGTTCAGCGCCTCATGTTCCGCGACCACACGAATTTCATTTCGGTTTGCTTCTGTCTGACCATTCGTTCAAGGAAAGAGCGTTCGTATCGTTGCTTCCACGTCGTCTGTAGTTTCTTGCGTCTCCCCACTATTACGGGTCTCTGTGTTATTTTGACTCAATCGAGAAATTGCTTTCACAAGATTTGATAAATTTTGCAGATTTCTGTTGCCCGCCATATTTGCATAAGCGCGGTTTACAGAAAATTTACTCCGGATAAATTAGTCGCGCTCTTTCTCCGCCAAAAATGTCGTTTTATTTTAGTAAAATGTCGTTTTATATATTTGAGGAATTTCGTTTTATATATTT